ATCAATAATTTGTACAGATAAATAAAATGTAATGGCCGCACAAGCTTTGAAAAAGAGGTACCTGGGTGCTATGAAAACATATGGGGGGTGGTTGATCAGGGGAGGGCACAGGTCCTCTGACCACAGGGAACATGACAAACTTCAGAAACTTGAGCAAAGTCGGTATGCCAGCACAGAGAGGCCAGGGGACATGGAGAAGCAGGCAAGGTTCAGATCTTGCCCAGTACTCTCACTAAGGGGAAGACATTCATTTTTTGAGGGGGAGAGAAGGGTTTGGGGAGAGAGTAAGCAAATCAGATTTATAGTCTGAAAAAAAATTATCTGGCTACTGGGTAAAAAACGGATTGAAGGAAGTGTGTGTAGCAAGTAGAGGCAGGAAGACTCATTCAGAGACATGCGCAATCACGGCCATTAAAAGAGATTTGGACTCAAAGTGTGGGGATGAAGATGAAGAGATTGGACCAAATGAAATGTCATCTTAGATACACGTCTCATCCTATTTCTCTGCTAGTTTAATTTAATCATGGTTCTTGGCCCCCGCCAGCTACTGTCATTTGGACTTCATAAGTGTACCTGAATGATTTAAAACAATAATCAATAGCTTATGGATTAAATCCAAGTCCTCTTCAGGACAATTGTTTTCCATTGCAATCACGTACTGAGGAAGATCTCATTCATTTCCTACTACATCTGCTCACCTAACATCTGTGGTATCAGGGTTTTATTGAGGTTGATCAGACAAATTCTACCAATAATTCAAATGTGACTCCCAGTTGCAGTACAATTGTGAATGTCGGTGTTATCATTACAAACCAGGAATTACGACGAGTATCCAGTGTCCCTTTCCAACAGAAATGACCCTGCCCACTCTACCCACTATTACTTGTGCCCTTGAACTTGGTCCTAGGCCAAGTTCAAGATTCCAGATGTTCTATGGGCATAACCAGACACTGTCCCTCAGCTCACAGGATAAACTGAAATGGGTTCCCAGCGAGAAGGGTCTTTAATGTGGCTCCTAGGCCACTCCTCTGCTCTCTAATTTCCACCCCTAAGGGAAATCCTGAATCTCAAGCTACTATGAGCTCTCCTTGCATCTCGGGGGAATGCTAGAAGATTCTACACTTGCACATCAGTATTGCCATGGAGCGGTGGGTGCACAGACATGAAGCCCCGGGCTCGGGTTTGAGTCTAGACTCCTCTGTGACAAACTTCAGAAACTTGAGCAAAGTCGGTATGCCAGCACAGAGAGGCCAGGGGACATGGAGAAGCAGGCAAGGTTCAGATCTTGCCCAGTACTCTCACTAAGGGGAAGACATTCATTTTTTGAGGGGGAGAGAAGGGTTTGGGGAGAGAGTAAGCAAATCAGATTTATAGTCTGAAAAAAAATTATCTGGCTACGCCCAAGGGCTGAGGAACTCTGAGCAGGGCCCTAATTCCTCCGGACCTTCATTGCTCATTGGCGAGATGGAAATGGTGGTAACAGCAGCCTGAGCCTTACAGGGCTGCGAGGACTGGATTAGCCACAGGGATCTGCTGGTTACCAGCAGCCTGTCGCATCACTGCCATGGATCGAGGTGAACTGTTAAGTCGCTACACGAATTGATCATCCTGTGTCTGCCTTTGCCTGTAGCAGTTCTGGGGCTAAGATCTATTACTCAAAGTCAATGCCCAATGGGAGAAACTTTATTTAAGGGTTTAATCTTCTGAAAAACAATTTTTTTTTCTCCTGAGATGCCGGTGTATTCCATGCTTTCTAACGTGGTATTACTCGTCAGTTTTCCTTCTCTGCCTTAGCTACCCAGAAGCTCAGAGCATACTAACCTAACGTGTGGACTCTGGCCAGTTTATTTTCCCTTTTTTACTCATTGCTATTCCTTTTCTTTCCCCCGTGTTATATTCATGTTTTGTGTGCATTTGAGAAGCTATCTGAAATTCCTTTTGGGTAAGTAAATGGACACAAAGAAAATCACCAACAAAATCAATTTCCCAAGCGCAGCCTGTGCATTCACGAACAGCGCGTTTGCTCAGCAAGCTGCAAGGCTGGGGCAAGTTATCTCACCTCTGCAGCCTCTCTCCCTGTCGGTACAATGAGCGCCCACAATAGAATCTCCTTTAAAGGGCTATTGTAAGGAAGGAAGGAATTAACTCATAAAAAGCATTCAGGGCGGTGCAGCATACAATAAGGACTCATGCTAGTTTCTTGGGGCTGAAATCATTAGAATTATTCCAGGTATCAGACTGGTGGCTTTTCCAGAGAACCAGCTGCTGGGAATACACACACACACACACACACACACACACACACACACACGTGCGCGCACGCTCTAATTGCTCTTCTCCAAATGTTTTATAGCAAATCTGGAAGCCAACCTTTAAATTCTGCCCAGTACATTAATTCGGTGTGTGTGTGGGGGTGGGGAGGGGGGGAGGTAATCTTGGATAAAGAATTGTGTTGGGGTATTGCTGTTTTCCTGCCTCTAAAAATGGAGCTATACGATGCCATTTTATGTCAAATGATACACATGTTAAAAGTGATGCAGCAAAGTATCAGTAACCCCTCACCACAGGCACTGTTTGTCCGGCTTGCATTGGTGCTGCAATGACAGAGCGTAATAAACACGTTACTGTGAATGACATCACACTCCAAAGGGCCCTTGTTGAACGTCACGCTTTGGCTGTACATAGCGCTGCGCCCACGACCGGCACCTGCCTTTGCCTCCCCCATCACACCTTCTTCCCTCCAGAGCTGATGACAGTTCTTTCTTCTGAAGCTTTGAGCCAGGCTAGTTCTTTAGCTGAACCAGAATCACCTGGTGGGCTTGTTACTATGCGAAGGGAAATAAGCCAGTCAGAGAAAGACAAATACCATGATTTCTTATATGTGGAATCTAATGAACAAAATATATAACAAACAAAATAGAAGCAGGCTCATAGATACAAAGAAGAGACTGAGCTGTTATCTTATTGAGTTTGGGGGGCTGGGTGAGAAGATAAAGCAAAAAAAAGAAAAACCACTCATAGACACAAACAGCAGTATGGTGATTGCCAGAGGGAAAGGAGGTGGGGAGTAGAAGAGAGTAAAGGGGGCGATGAGTGGTTCCCATCACTTGACCTTGGGCGGTGAATGCACGATGCAATATACAGATGATGTACCACAGGTTAGTACACCTGCAACTTATGTAACTTTATTAACCAACGTCACCCCAGTAAACTCAATAAAAATGAAAAACAAAACCCACCAGTTTCTATGAAATCGTTGTTGAAGGCCATGCCCATCACATGGTCAACATCACGCCCAATTGGGGAAACTTTTTCAGGGTTTAGTCCTGGGGAAGCTGCATGTCTAGTATCTGCAGGTTCTGCTCCCCCACGGGTCTCCCTGTCTCCTCTGCTGGCTGCCAAACTGACATTTTACGTGAGTTCACCTGATTTTACTGTAACAAGAAATTAAAAAAATATGTTTTAACTATGAGAACCAAAGAACACGTTTTGCAAGGCTGTGTACCGCCTCTGCTCCTCCCTTCACCGCGTCTCGCCCGTCAAGACCTGCATTCACCTTTTAAGTCCCAGCCTCCTTTCCTTTCTCTGCCAATGGACTCCCCACACCAGGGACAGCAGTGATATCTGTATCCCTACCTCCACCTCTTTGCAGTAAAACCCATCTACCAACTGCCAATCACCTTAAAACACTGCTCCAATCATGCGTGTCGCCTTTCTAGTCAAAGCCCTTCTGAGACTCCCCTGGCTCCCAGCTGTCAAAACTCTATCCCAAATGGCCGTCCTCCCCTCCCCGTCTGGATTCTGGCTGAAGGTGGCCCAGGGCAAACACCAGCTGGGTTCTGGAGGGAGAAGGGGTCAGAGGGTCCAGTCCTCTGGTTCTCTTGCTGCAGGGTTCACAGGCTGTGTTCCCCCTGGATGAAGGCAGCCCTTCCCTGAGTGAAGGGTGTGGCTACTCCCTCCCTGGGCCTCTGAGGGCACAGAACGCTCCACCTTTGTAACCTTGGCCAAAGTTTTCTGAAATTATTCTAACCTAAGTGATGTACTTCCTGCTACAACCTGACTGAAACCTCTCCCCAGTCTCATGCCTCTAAGTGAACACTAACCAAGTACATGCAAGAAAAAAATATCCTTTTTCACCAGTCATTTTCCAGAATTTGAATATCACTATTTGGAAACATTTTGCAGCAATTTAAAAGTTGCCTTTATGGCATGAAGAATTTTAGAATTCTATCTTTAAGCCTAAACTGTTGCTGAACATTAAACCAAAAAATATAGTATGTAATGCTTAGTCTTGAAGGTTAAAAATGACATTTCCTCTTAAAATTATGTATATTTAATCCTAGAAATATCCTCATTTTTGTATTATGATCCTTCCATAGGTATTTTGATATATCAGTGCCATCTGCTGGGAAGTTAATATACCATTAGGTTTCTAAATCCCAAAATATATGTCTTTTGGGGGGGCTGGAGGGGATAAATGTACTCTTTATTTAAGAAAAAAGCCTTATTTTTAAATACACAGCTGCTTAACTTCTACATCATCACCGATATAAACCCCAATTAATTACAAAGCACTAAAATAAAGTCTGAAACATAATATTTAAAACACACTAAACATTTCTATTGATACATCTCTTGGTTTCTAGAATATTCTTATGTGGTTCTGCTCTACTTTTGTAGGAAGCTCAACAAGTCTCAGCATGAGCTGGCTCTTTTCCAAAGATCCATGATACTTGTATGTAAGAGAAAAGTGAAATATATATGTTTAGATATAATATATATTGCATGTATTTAAATAAAATATATACATATTTTTCAGTACATGACAAAGTTTCAGGTGTGAAGTGAGCAGACAGGTATAAGATTAGATCTTTCTGGAGTTCTTTCGCCAACTCTAAAAAGCAACTGTAACAGACACATATAAACAACACGACACAACTGTTAAATTTTCTGATAAAAATTGCAACAGATGTTCTAAATGATAATATAGAAACATAAAAGATTGCTTAACTGATTTTAATAACATGACACAAAACCCCTACACTTGATAGAATCATTATGCAAAATACATAGATGAATACTGTCTTCTTTTAAAAATATAAAATAAATAAGCAAGACATGTGAAAATAGGCAAGTTTCCATTAAATAAATGAAATCTTTTTTAAAAAAGAAAGTTTTGCTTTCCATATCATTTGAAAAAGGAAAATTATCATTTAAACAATATTCAAGTTTATTAAACAAATGTTAAAGGTAATATAAAATGTTTAGCTTTCATCAGCTTCAAGGTTTATGTTGCTCCCAAATTTTGCATATAACTGAACTTTCAAATCTGCTAACACCCGCTGAATGGATTCCACTCTGGATTCTAAGGCGTCAATTTCTTCTTGCAAATTTTTCTGGAAAAAAAAATTGTTTAAGTTAATTCTATTCAAGTGGATGATTTCTAGCACCTGTGGTTGAAAAAATATTTGGGAACACTTTTAGGTCAGAACTTTCTAAACTTGAACAGGCAGCTACATACATAATACTGATCATTAGATCTCAACCAAAAGTCTGAAAATGGGCATTTTTAATTCAGGGCCTATATTGCTTCTAAGATAAATCAAACTTGTTTTCTCAGTTTGGGCTAATTTCAAAAACATAAGAGATAAAAGGAAATTAATTTCTAAATTTTACCATATCTGAATAAACAAAGAACCCTCCATAAACACGTTGGCCACTTCTGCTAAACACTGCGTCACAGGCATGGCTTCTGCCGGAGCCTCTCCAACCGCCTATAAGGTAACTATGCAACTAGAGGAAATGACAAAAATTCATGCTACCATGAACAACTAAGATAACAATTCAGTCAAAACCTGGCAAAAATTTTTTGAGCCTTTCCATCTAGATTACGTACTCCATGCAGGCAGGGACCAGGGTGTTCTGTTGTCCGTGTACCTAGTAAGTGATAGAAACCGATAGAGCAGCGGTTCTCAACCTATGGGTCACGACCCCTTTGGGGGTCGAACGACCCTTTCACAGGGGTCGCCTAAGACCACCAGAAAACACATATATAATTACATATTGTTTTTGTGATTAATCACTGTGCTTTAATTATGTTCAATTTGTAACAATGAAATTGGGGGTCACCACAACATGAGGAACTGTATTAAAGGGTCGCGGCGTTAGGAAGGTTGAGAACCACTGCGATAGAGTATACACTCCATAAATACTTCTGAAATGAATGAATGAATTGCAAAATGAAGGTTCAATATATGTGTGTGGCAGGGGCAGCGGTGGGGCTGGGAAGGATGGAGGAATGTTCACAATAGTGACAAAAACTTCTCGTGACATACTTGCAGGAGTATTTTAGGATGGCTAAAAAGAAAACCAGAATTACACAATTTTACTATGAAAGAAAAGACTTCAGCATAGAAGGGGACTCAATGTTTCTACACGGAAAGACTCAGGAGTGTTAGTTCTACCTGAGGTTTATTAAATGTGCGTTTAAGTCATGAAAAGTTGTGCTTTTATGACATTTAAAGCAGGAAGACAAACATTTTAAATAATATTCAAGCTAATTAGGCAACTTTGAAGAGAATTAGAAAATATTTAACTGCCATCAGCTTCTCATACACAATGCGACTGCCCTCTCAGGCATAGCTGGAGGACCCGGGAACTGGAAACTAATTTGCTAAGTCGCAAACACGTCAATGAACTTACACTGACCCAGTAATTACACTTCACTGATTATTTTCTTAAAGAATTTCTTAAATGTGAGCAAAGATTAAAGTATAAAAATGCTCACTAGAGCATCACTTCAGGAAAATACTGGAAACATTAGGAGGACAGTGAGCTGAGTCAATGTCCACCAACATGGCATTAAAGTCATCAAACATGGTGTTTTAACGTACGTGTGCCTGGCCCAGAGCAGGCTCCCAGGGAGCATCTGCTGGATAAATAAACATTAACGGGAGGAGAAAACACTACCGGGATGTTAACTGACCAAAAGGTGAAGCGAAAGAAAGAGGAGAGGACATAAGGGAAAGGCATGGAGATGCTCATCATGGACGACCACCTCTGGGTGGTGGGATTGCGGGTGGTTTTTCTGTTGCTTTGTAATATCCTGTGCTTTGTAAACACTTTTAACTCAGAGCGCAGGCTCAGGAATCGCAAGCTCATTCCCCGTGTCACTTTGAATAAGCGCCGAAAGCTCTCTAAGCCTCTATTCTTCAACTCTAACTGGAACTAATGGTACCCGTCTCACAGAGTACTTGTTAGGATGAAATAAACTCACACTTGAAATGCATTCCGAGCACATGTGGGGCACTCTGAGACCCAGGAAGTATTACCCAGCATCCATTACTTTCCCTACTCCTCCATGTTCTTTATAAGGACACAAATCCCAATGTAAGAGTCAGAGTTCATGACCCAGGGAAAAACTTCAATATACCTTTGCTTCTTCTAACATGTCTTGTGTTTCTTCCTGAGAATGGCTAATGAAAACATCACCAATCTGATAAGGTATCATTAAGCAGTCTTCATCTGCAAGCATGATGTCCTCGCAGGCATCTTCTAAATTCTGGAGTTGTTTCTGCAAATGCAAAAGGGAACAGCAATGAACAATGTATTCAACATTTCCCGATAGAGCTAGCAGCCCATTTTAATTTGGGGACACCAACTCTCGGAGAGCTCACTAACAGGCTGATCTCTAGATACTTCCAGATTGCTACAAGCGTGCTGCGGTGGACAGCGGGAATCTGTGGCCACTCACAGTATCTCCTACCTTAACAGTCTCTCGTTTTGTAAGCTCTGCCTTCCTGTGGGAGAACTAAAGCAAAGGCAAACATGAATCTACACTTCTCAGCCGTGCCTGGTCATAGGATGGAAGCAAAGAACTTGAATTCCACCAATCTAATGCACTTGAACTGGACTTCAACGCAGGGAGTTGCACAAGCAGCGGCTGGGCACAAGGCCTCCAGTTTACAGGGGCAGCTGGGTGGCAGCGCAGTGCCCTAGGTCTGAGGAGCAGGCAGCTGGCGTGGAGACAGCAGCAGTGCCATCCCAGCCAAGTGCTCTGAGACATGGTTCTGGGACCTGCTCCTGGAACCTCGGCCTAGAGTCCCACCTCTCCACAATCTGTAAGTTTTCTCACACCCTTAAACAAGGTTTTTCTTCTTAAACTAGAGTAGGTTATGTCCTCTGCGACAGAGTCCAGACAGATATAAGCACAAGTTATCGAATTCAGTTTTTAAGAGCTATTGCATAAAGAACTTCCATTTTTCTGAAATAAGATACATATCTCCAGTACCTTTTTTACATCTATTTCTTCCTTCAGCTCTGTGATTCTACTGGTATTCCGTGCAAATTTGTTTATCTTTTGTTGATCTTCAAAAGTAACATTGACGTCTTCTGCAGCCTGAAAAGAGTTAAATGCCAGACTCTCCTTAGTTTGGCCTCACTTGGTTATAAAGGAGGAAAGACAAAGGCGTATCTGGTTTCAGTAAGGACCCCATAGCCTGGCTCAGTGGCCACACCCTCCCCTCCCCTGGCCTCTGTGACCAAAGGCATAAGGTCCGTACACTCTGATTTCTCCAGAGGGCGAAGCACCCTCTTGTCTCAACCAACATGGAGCTCAGTGGTCAGAACAGGACGGCAGACCCTGAAAGGCGGCCCTCCCATCGCAGGCGCTCATCATCCCGTAAACAGCTTCGCACACACCAGGCCCATCATCAGACCCAGAGGACATCTTGAAAAAAGTCCTTTACGTCCCCATACGTACAGCTTTGAATATTCAACCTTGCACATATTTTCATGAACACAGACGCTGGTAAACCCTGGCCTGCAGCACAGAAACCAAAGGCAAGTCCTTATGCAGACAATCCTAGCGTTCAAGTCATTTTACTTCACGATAACTCCAATTCCCTAAGCGAATAGGGCACAGAGAACCCCGAGTTCCTGCTCTCCCACAGAGTCCAAGTACTGAGCCCCGAGAACCCATGTCCTTACAGGTGCACAGTCATCGCGAAAGACCGGGCTTCCCACACACACAACTGGGGCTCAAGGCAGGGCTTCTGAATTTGAACCTGAATCGTGCTCATCAGTCACATGCACACGGTCTCTGAAAAGTTGTAGAGAACTGGGCCCCTGCTTCCCACCTGTCCAGAACAGGCGCTTCCTGTTGGAGCCCCCACAGTCCTGCACACACCTGGCCCTGGAGTGCACTTCCTCCGCGGTGGCTCTCACTGGGATTCGGGCTAAAGGGGGCGGGGAGGCACATGGGCCTGGGTGAGCCGCATGCCACCCAGCGAGTGCCGTGTGCAGAAAGGGAGAAGCCGCCCCTTCCCTAACAGCCCTGCCTTCCCTTTTCATCTCACTGATCTAGAACATTCCTACTGCCTGACGCTTCATTTCTGCAGGGAGGGCTTAATTCTTAATTGGGGGGCCAGTGGGCGTTGAGGGGTCCATTCACCCCCTGAAACTATGCAAAATGGCATGTGTGGTATGTGTACTGATCGGGAGGGGTCTTCACAGCTCTCATCAAGATTCTTAAAGGAACCCTCCACCCCCCAGGTAGGAACTCCTGCTTTAACAAAAGCCAGATGCAGTTACTACCGCTCACGAAGCCGTAAGAATTCATGGAGGAAGGAGTTGTAGTATTTGAGGCAGCCGAGTGGTGGAAACAGAGTGGATTCACACCCACGTGAGCAGGAACCATGGCAAATTTCCCAATTCTCTGGAGCCAGCTGGGGTGTGCCATCCTTCAGTAAAGCAGGGAAGCCATGCCCACCTCAGAGGTGGCAGCACGGGCACCCAGCAGAGGGCCTGCGGGTGGAGTCACCTCCCACCGAGGGCCAGCTAGTGCTCTACTTCCTGACTGTTCACCAACAACCATCACACAGGAAGGACACCCAGAAGGTGCGAGGTGAAAACCAAAATCCCTGCACCCCGACGGCCCTTTCCGTGAGACTCGGTCTCCCATGGGCTCTGGGAGGGAACAGAAGCAGTCGGTCCTCACACTGGGCGCGGCTGTGACCAGCAGGTCTCTCGGAGAAGGAAATGCCGGCCAATTCAGTCTGCTTCTATTTTTGTCTTTTAAAGATACCTAACACGTCTCTGAGACACAACTATGCTCTGTATGTTCACGCACCTTCCGTGCATACACTCACTTAACAATTACTTAGTGTCTCCTCTGTGCCGGGCAATGAAAGGGGAGCCGCCGTCCTGCCCTGGTGAACACCGAGCTCACGTCTGGTGGAGGAGACAGGCAAAACACAGGGTTTTCTGCTGGAAGGTGACACAGGTGACGAGACAGGGGTGAGTGTTGGGGGGATGAAGGGAGTGATGGAAGGTCGACGGCTCCTTCGGAGGGAGCTCCCTGCGGAGGGAGGTGCACAGGTACCAACTGGAGCCCCTGCATGGCCACCAGCTGGTCTTAGGACGCAGAGGGGAGAGGAGGGGACGGCATCTTCTCGGGAACATTCACCGGCAGGCAGGTGCTACAACCCGGAAGGCCTCCGACCAAAACCAACGCAAGGGGCTCCCGTGACACCCACCTCGCCAGCCCAGGGGTTCCTCCAGGGGCCGAGGGGAGTCTGTGCAGCCGGCCTCCCGGGGCTGTTCCCAGCAGTGGGGACACTAGGAGAGGCGGCCGCACCACCAGCGGGCTCACTAAGAGAAGAAGCAAAGCCTCCAGGTTTGGGCCACACCTACCGTTTTCCTACCCTCAGGGTTCAAGCTCTCCCCACATCCCCGGCCTTTCCCACTTTCCTTCTGTTCCAGGCACCGGGTCTGGAGGAGAAACTCCCTCCCTGGGGTGCGTGCCCCCTTCCCTCCCGAGTTCCCGTCCCTCCTCCCTAATCAGCGGCCCACACCTGACCACACAGCCGCGCTCTGGACACTCCTGTGTGACCCTCGATGCCTGGCCTCCCTCCAGGAGCCCGAGGTCTGCACGGCCAGGAGGCCGAGGGGATAAAACCACGGTCCTCCCATCCCATCCCAGCAGCCTGCGCCATAGGACACGCTCCCGAAGCTCGCTGAATGCAAGAAGAAATGCTGGTGATGAAAAATGGGGCAAAATCCTGGATCCAAACCCTTCTCCTCCCGGTTCCCCAACATGGACTCCTCTCCTCACTTCAGCTCCCACACCTGCAGATGGTGAACCCCAACCACCCCCCCACCCCCACCCCCACGGCTTCAAGGCCACAC